TTTACCACCCACCTGCCCCTGGGGTTAACAACCAAGCCATACATTGCTTTCATAATGTGATCATCCCTAAATTTTTCTCAAGGGCCTCCTCTGGTTTCGGGAGCCTTCTCCCACTTCTAGCCCCTTCTTTCCCTGGCCCCTCTGCCTCACACGCGGCCCTCTGCCCTACACGGGTGCGGTAATTAAAATCGCTGAGCGGAGTGGGAGGGGGAGGAGCGTGCAGCCTACAGCACTTGACTAACCTGGGCATGAGTCAGGGAGTTTAGAAGCTGTGACACAGCAGGACACATGCCTGGGGTGGGAGTGGAGAGGGAGGGTGGACTTGCTCCACGCTGAAGGGACCGGGTGAGTCTCACTTTCCCAGGCGCAGGCTGCGTGGGAGTGGGGTGCTGTCTAGACCCCCTGCCTCAGAATTTTGGTATTGATTCCACTCTGATCATTTCTAATGAGGAGAGGTGGGTATGACCCTGACCCGGCCTCCCGACCGAAAGGCCTAGGCCTGGGGAAGGCTTTCAGAGTGGGGGCTCTGCTTTCCTCCTCTCCTCCCTTCCGGTCTTGTGACCAGTTAGGGCATAGTCACATGCCTGCCTGCTGGGAGAAGTTGGTGAGTGGGCGGGCACACCGTAACAGCAGCATCGGCATGGGCTCCCAGCACATCTGTGCCTCTGGAAGTACAGACTGCCCACTTCTGTGGATTCAGATCACACAGCATCTAACCAGTCCCACCAGACTCTCTCCTCAGCAAGGGCAGAGTCTAGAAACAGACCTGGAGAATCTAGCCAAGGCTCTGTCTGAGAGGAATTCTGCCCTGGCTCTCCTAGATGAGTCAAGGAACTTTAGGGTCCCTGCCTCAGAAAGCAAAGTGTATTCAGAGGAGAAGGGACAAATAACTTCCCAAATGTAACTAGATTTACAAGACTCACAGAACAAGAGCCAAGGAGACCAGAGATGTCTGAAGTGGATGGGAGAGATGCAGCCTCAGATCCCAGAGGGGTGTGAGACTCTGTCCAGTGGAGAGTAAAATACACTAGATTTTCTGGAGTTTTCTAATGTAACTTCTGTTTTATAAAGATATACATCATGCTTATGTTTTTCCTTTTATACATTTTGTGGTATGTGTATTACAATATACACAGTTCTATCAGGTAGGACCAGAGTAAGAGACTGTATAAGACAACAATGACTTAAACAAGAATTTGTGTGATCTAAGTGGAGCCTGGTAGTGAGCTGCTTGGAGCTGGGACACTGTCTTCTCTGATGCTTTGCCATCCTCAACATGTGGCTTCCACTTCCTTATCTAAAGTGACCCTCATGGTCCAGGCAGTATGTCTACATTCTGGGCAGCAGCAGAAGAAGGAAACAACTGTACACCTTCCCACTGGACACTTCTTGAAATGACACCTCACTCTGGAATTCCATTGGATAGAATTGCGTCATATGGCCACAACTAGCTGCAAGGGTTTCTGGGAAATGTAGTCCGTTCTGGGATGTCTTGTGTCCATTTGGGAATGCTATACAAAGGAACCAGGAAAGAAGGAATCATGGGATGCTGCTAATAGTTTTGACCACCGTGTTAGTAGATTGGCCTGTGAGTGCACTTACACAGAAATAAATGCACCATTGGAGCACGGTTAAAGTGAGATCCTGGCAGTGAGTTTAAAGATCATTGCTATGGATCACACGTCTCTAAAACGCAGTAACTGACTGAATAAAGGAGTGTGGATGTCTTTTCATCATTTGCCATGGTTTGGATAAATGTCTCCCGAAGACCCAGTTGTTAAAGGGGTGGTCCTTAGGCCATGGTGCTATTGAGAGATAGCATAACTATAAGAGGTGAGACCTAGTAAGAGGAAGGTAGGTCACTGGGACCCTAGCAACTTCCAGTCACTATCTGCTTCTTTCTGCCATGTGCTCCCACCATAACACACTCTCTTGCTACATTGTCCAAACATAATGAGACTGGTGTTCCAAGAACTGAAAACCTCCAACACCATGAGCCAAAATAAAGATGTCCTTCTAAATAGCCTTTCTCAGTATTTGTTACAGTAAAGGAATGCTGGTCAGTTCATCACCTCCCATCCATTCACCATTTTCCGAGTGAACGGTGTGGACAATTCATATGTGCGCGCATCCCTCTCTGCCTCTCTCAGCCATGCAGCTGCTGAGACAGGGACAAGGGCTTCTAATCAGTCTTAGATGGCAACTCATCCTCTGCACGGAATCTGGATTGGTACAGGTTGTTGAAAGCGCACCCAGAACTGTCTTTCAGTCTGAAAGGGCAAATGTTGAACACTGCTGTGGAACTATCCTTTTCTACACTATGAATATGTATTACTCTCTTGGCTAGTAAAAAGCTGATTGGCGCTGGGCAGTGGTGGCGCACGCCTTTAATGCCAGCACTCGGGAGGCAGAGCCAGGCAGATCTCTGTGAGTTCAAGGCCAGCCTGGTCTACAAAGCGAGTTCCAGGAAAGGCGCAAAACTACACAGAGAAACCCTGTCTCGAAAAACAAAAAAAAAAACAAAAACAACAACAACAACAAAAAAAGCTGATTGGCTGATAGCTGGGCAGGAAGAGATTGAGCATGAGAACCAGACTAGGAGAATTCTGGGAAGAGGAAGGGCAGAGTCAAGAGTCACCAGTAAACACAGAGAAGCAAGACGAGAATGCTGTACTGAGTATCAAGGTATCCAGCCACGTAGCTAGCCATAGATAAGAATTATGGGTTAATTTAAGTGTAAGAGCTAATTAGTAATAAGCCTGAGCTATTGGCCAAGCACTGATAGTTCATATTCAGCCTCTGAGTCAGTTATTTGGGACTGGACAGTCGGGACATGGAAACATCCATTTACATAACCCAAAGCTGAGGGGACATGAATAAGAAGTTTCCACACTTGGACAGGCTGCTCTAAGAATACAAATGTGATTCACCTCCAGAGGATGAGGGAGAGACCTAGAGAGGACTTGGTCTTGGTGATGTCAGCTAAGTTCCTGTGTCAAACTGTGAGCACAGCCAGCATGACTGAGGAGCCACCTTGGACTCTGTGGACGATCCCACCCTGCTCTCGCCTAGAACTGTTAGAGTGAGGAGGTGGACAGAACAAGGGACTGGTGAGGTCTACAGCACAGCTGCAAGGCCTGGATGGATGTCTACACAAGAGCGAAACCAATTCCTCCCTCGTTTGAGTCTCTATCCACTTGAAGATCTTTGTTTTAGCAGCCAGCTTATGACCATCATACCAGAAATAAATACCTTATTTAATTACTGAATATGGGGCTGAAGAAAAAGCTCAGCAATTAAGAGCACTTGCCATTTCTGGCCTGAGTATGATTCTAAGCACCCCCATGGCGACTCACAACAGTCCATAATTCTGATGCCATCCTTTGGCTTCCGTTGGTACTCGCGTGTGCATGGTGCACACAAAACATTAGTACACATAAAATAAGCATAAAGGCATCTTAATTACTCAATGTCATTAGTGGGTGAATGCCTAGCAAGAGATTTTTTAATTTTTAATTTAATTTATTTTATTATTATTATTATTATTTTTTACTTTTACAGTTCTGGACTCAGACCCAGGGTCTTGTACAAGGACTCCATCACTGAACTACACCCCACCTCCAGATCCAGGCCCAGAAAATGACACTCTAAAGGTTCAAGGTACAGCACCTTGACATGCTAAATACTTTGACCTACAAAGGAGCAATCAGAACCAACCACCAGAGGAGCTTTCTCAGAAGTCTTCTACCTAACGGCTGGTCTTCCAGAAGATTCACTCACAAGAAGAAGACAAGAGTTGACCACCACAGCCTGAGTCAAGGCAAACTTTATCCAGACAAACTTTGTCCAACTTCACCTAAAAGTGCCTCTAGCATCTCTCTTTTCCTTAAGGAGAGGACAAACACTTCTAAACCTCACTGTTGGGATCCCGCTCTTTGGCATGTGATAAATTGGGTACCTTTGCTCTGATTGGTTTGTCTACTGCCCACTTACTTCTCAGGATGGTTAGGAAACCTCCCGTGGGGGAGGAAAAAAAAGAACCCCCCTCCAGGGAAAGAAAGAGTCCTCTTGCTTCTAGACACATACGCAGAGGCTGTGTTCCTTGTCTGTACCACCAGATCTGACCTGTGACTTGATGCTCCATACTAGGCCCAATGGAATGAATATTCGGTTACCTTTATGAGCTTCAGAATGCCCAGCAGACACCTGGAGATCAATAAGAGACCAATGAGATCATAAGTTAGCAGGTGTTCAGAGACTATAAGACACACACACACACACACACACACACACACACACACACACACACACACACACACACACGTACAATCTGTTGACATCTTCATGAGACAAACACTCCAGTTACGGCACTCTAAGAGTTGGCAGGTACCTGATCCACCACACAGACACATTCTGTGCCCCGGCCACCCTCAGGCTGGAGTACCTGTGGTGACATATTGTGTACCCTAATAAATTTACCTGGGGATCAGAGGACAGAGCCAGCCACTACATTAGACATAGAGGCCAGGCAGTGGTGACACACACCCTTAATCCTATCACTTGGGAGGCAGAGAGCCATCTGGACCTCTGTGGGTTCAAGGCCACACTGGAAACAGAGCCAGGCAGGGGTGGCACACACCTTTAATCCCAGTACTGGGAAGCACACATGCCTTTAATCCCAGGAAGTGATGTCTGGGCAGAGAAAGGTGTATAAGGCGTGAGGAGACAGGAACTCACTCTCTTTAGACTGAGGATTTCGTAGAGGTAAGAATGTGGCTGGCTGCTCTGCTTCTCTGATCTTGCAGCTTCCACCCCAATATCTGGCTCCGGGTTTTTTATTAAAAGACCTTTTAAGATTCGTGTTACAAGTCCCCTCCACAGCATTTCCATTAGCTTCCTGACTCAGCTGGGTAGGGTGGGACAGGTGTGCTGCAGAATCCCGCACCCTCCCTGCCTCACTCATCTCCGCACACCTCCCTCCCTCCCTCCCTCCCTCCAGCTCCAGCCCAAGTCCCCTGATCTGCAGAGGTATTCCTGTGCTGGCGAGGCAGTTGTGCTTCCTGCTGCTGCTTCCTGCTGCCGTGTCACGTGACACTCTGTGCTCTGCCCTGAGAGGTGCCCGTGGTATGCCTTCATCTGTGGTTCTCACACCAATTCCGCTTCATCCTTTCCTTCTCAGAGGTGGGGTTCTCCAGGGTAGAGGCTGTCTTGTTCATTCCGTTCTCCAGGACCTCCCTCGATGCCTGGCACTGGTTGGTAATTTAATAAGGGTTTGATGACTGGATGCATTAGTGGGAGGGTGGACCAAGGTCTAAGCACTAGGTTTCTGCATGAGACATGCTCATGTCCACAGGTCGTCAGCTGCGTTCACTCTTGATGCATGCATAGGGTGCACAGGGCACACGGAAGACCAGCCAGCGTCCTGTCCTCACACAGCTAAGTCTCTGAAAAGCAGAGGCTAAAAGTAAACAAGAAACCAAAGAAACCTAGACCCTGAGACTTTCTGCGTAGAAAATGCCCAATTGAGGGGCAGGGGTGGGTGTTCTGGAGGGCTGGAGGCAGAGTGGGCTGTTTAGATGGGTGGGTAGGGAGAGCTTCACTGGGGACATAGGTTGGTCAGCTTTCTGTCACTAGAAAGACACACCTGAGACATTCATCTACAGAGAAGAGGTTTATTGGGATTGCAGCCTGAGACACATTGGACCCATGGCTTCAGGCCTACAGTGACAGTGCAGGGTGCCGGGAATGTGGGAGACAAGTGCTCACCTCATGCCTAGAGAGCAAAACGAGAGGAAGGAAGTCTTGGGTCCTGTAACATGCAATGACCGAAGGGCCTCCAACTCGGCCCTGTCTCTCTCAGCTCCACCCCTTCCGAAGAGCCCCTGCGGCTCCGAGCCTTTAGCACACTAAATGCCCCCCCCCACCCCGGGGGGGGACGTTGGAGATCCAGGCTGTGGCACAGCTGGAGCTGAGTCCTCAGGAATGGGGATGAGCCAGTTTTAGGAACAGGGTAACTCCAAACAGCAGACGGCTCCTCTTTCCTCAAGGCTTACTTTCTTAAGAAAAAAATACATTTGTTAGTTTCTCTCTCTCTCTCTCTCTCTCTCTCTCTCTCTCTCTCTCTCTCTCTCTCTCTCTCTCTCTCTTTCTCTCTGTGTGTGTGTGTCTGTGTCTGTGTCTGTCAGTGTGTACGTGTGTGTGTGTGTGTGTGTGTGTGTGTGTGTGTGTGTGTGTGTCTGTCTGTCTGTCTGTCTGTCTGTCTGTCAGTGTGTATAGCAGTCGAGGACACCTTGGGGAAGTCAGTGCTTTCTTTCCACCATGTAAGTCCCGGGGATCAAACCCAGGTTGTCAAGCCCCACAGAGCCGTCCTTACTCACGGAGCCACTGCGCTGGCCCCAAGGTTTATTTCTTCATCTGTAAATCGCAATAGACGCATCCACATCTCAGAGTGGGGTCTACACACATGGAAGCTCTCAGCTGGTGCCGGGCACACGGCAAACACTTCATACGCATTGGCTCTTACCAGTTACTGGTTGTGCCATAGAAAGAAAGAACCCTGCCAGTGCTATGTAAGGACACTTCCTTGTCCAAGTCCTCCAAGCCATTTATTAAATGGCTCTGTTCTACTCACCCCTACCCCCCTCACCTCACCTCCCCTACCCCCAGCTCCACTCCAGTAAAGGCAATGAAAATATCCTAAAGACTGATGGGGAGTGTGATGTGAAGGGGGAAGTCTCTTTAAGTGATGGTGGCGCTCTTGTGACTTCATCTTCCTCTTTGGATGCCTCCCACAATGGCTGTCATAGCTGCCCAGGGAACCTGTTGACAGGGGCCTTGCTATAGCTGGACCTAGGGTAAGATCCAGCGCAGCTGGGGCTGCCTGAGACCACTGATCCCCTGCAGGCTGATAAAGGTGATGAGTTACCCAGAAAGGAAGCCAGACACCTCCATATCTGCTGCCTGCCCAAGACTGGGAGCAGCCTGGCAGGTTTGCACTTCTCCAGAGGGAGGGAAAGGCTGCCTTTTGAAAATTCGGGAGGCTCTCCCACATGGGTTCCTCGGCTGGGCAGGCAAGAGAGTCTTGTGTTTGTAGCCAGAGCAAACAGATCCCAATTAACTCAGGAATGAAGATTTGCTTTAGTTCAAAGTCCAGAGCATGTGTTCTCTGGTCGAGGTGTGGTGTGGTGTGTGTGTGTGTGTGTGTGTGTGTGTGTGTGTGTGTGTGCAGGCGACCACACAAGTCTGTACATTTGTGCTGTTGGGAGAGGACCAGCAGTAGCACTGGCTTCCCAACAGCGGTGGCTTCCACTCTCCACCGCGGCTCTAGCAGATACGGTAATTTTATGTATTCATGTTTTCTTGTCTGGCCTCAAATGGCAACATAAGCACAACGGTGCCGTGGCAAGTGGTGCAACAAGGGCTTAATTACAGGGACCTTTGTCCAACTGACATGCTGAAAATTGGCCCCGGGGATGATTCAGCAGTAATCTTGCCACCGTTCCAGAGAAAGCCCTATCTGGGATGACGTCAGGTCTCTCCACGCCCGCCGCTCCTGCTTGCCTCTCCTCTCCAGAACCCCAGTCCCATCTGCGGAGCTCTGAGCTGCCATCTGCATTGTGACGAAAATGCATTTTATTACTGAAATAGCATGCCTGTGTCCATCGGCGGCCCTCTGGCTCTTCACATTCCATAGCACCTAGAAAAGGAAGAAATCCCAGCCCAGGGGGATGACCAAGGGCATATTCCGAGTTCGGTCCAGGCTTCCTGTATCTGGAACTGGATATTTTATCTCTGCACCCCATAAATATCTATACTTGGGGGCAAAGAGATTGGTTTAACTCGATCACTGGAAACCGAGGCACATGGCTAGTGTGGATACGCAGAAAGCATTGCAGAGTGTAGAGAGAGGGTCCCGAGCCGGGCGGTCCTTCTGTGCGTGGCCCACACATGCTTTGGATCACCTACTTCCAATTCACCAGTGCCCCCCCTTTTGCCTGACCAATAAAACCAGACAAGTGTTTGTGGGAGGCACCTTTCTCTTCATCTCCTAATTTGGTTTTTCTTGCTACTTCTGGCGAGAGCCATTTTATTTCTGTCGTCTATTTTGAAGAGTCGTGGAAAGAGAGCTGGGGTGGGTAGAGCTGGGGTAGGTAGAGCGGGGTTGGGTAGAGCTAGGGTGGGTGGAGCTGGGGTGGGTGGAGCCGGGGTGGGTGGAGCCGGGGTGGGTAGAGCCGGGGTGGGTAGAGCCGGGGTGGGTGGAGCCGGGGTGGGTAGAGTTGGTAAAAAGAGATCAAAGAATTGATCTCAGGTTCATTTTCTTCTGCCTCTGAATGTTGTTGTGATGTAGGGCACTCTAGCAGTCAGCAAATGAAAGGATGGAAAATCTAGATCCTTGAAGCTGCCAAGTGGCTGACAGACCAAAGCTAAATAGAACTGCCCCGTCCTCGGACTTCTTGTCATATAAGTTAACAAATTCTTTGTCACTTAAACTAGGTGGATCAAGGTTTTCTGTTCTATAAATGCTGAAAACATCATTACTACATGCCAGTGACTTGCAAGCCTTTTGACCATAAATTAAGACATATGCTCACTCTTCGTGTCTTTTAGGATGTGTGTGCAGTGCATCCCAAGGTGTTCTCTGCTATTCCGTTTCATTTTTAAAAATTCAGGTCATGACCCACTAAAGTGATTTCAAAGCTCATGAATGGGTCATGACCCACATTTCAGAGAACACTAAGTCATAGGGGATATAAACTGCAGGAAAGTACAACATGGTGTCAGAAAGACATGGTAACGAAGTGTCGGCACAGGACATTTCAGAGAACACTAAGTCATAGGGGATATAAACTGCAGGAAAGTACAACATGGTGTCAGAAAGACATGGTAACGAAGTGTCGGCACAGGAAGGAGCTGTCGTTTTGAGTTGGAAAGTACATTTTTTTTATCAGGGGAAGAAAGCAGAGAGCTGGAGACTCATGACAGGGACAATGGTGCAGTGGTTAGAGACACAGGTGCTTCCAGAGCAGCGTGTGAGCCTGGCCCCAGGCTGAATACAGTTCTCAGAAGCAGTGACTGATTGGGCAAGGTAATGTGGGAGCCACAAACCAGCATCACCGTCACCGGGAAGTGTTGGTTTCATGGAATTTAAAATGGCAGCAAGGGGCCGTTGGTTGGGTCTGCATCTCATTAGAGGGTTACATAAGAGATGCTTGAGGCACCAGGTGGATGAGAAACCCCGTGCCTGAGGACCAGTGTCCTGTCCCTCTCTTGTCCCCACTCTGCCTTCAGCCACTGCGAAGCCACCACCGGGGTCTCCACTGAGGAGTTGTTGATGCTAAGCACAGAGCTGGCTTTTCAAAAAGCGTCCGATCCTGAACTTCCTCCCAATGAAACCAAGCAGGAGCGGCTGCCTTTCAAGCAGAAAGGCCTCTAAGTCCTGCCTTTGCTCTTTTTCTTCCCACTGCCTTCTAAAAAAATTCTACCATGTGAGATCCAGACCCCACAGGCAGGTGGGGCTGTACTATTTGGCACCTCTACTTTAAAAAAAAAAAAAAAGTGGTGGAGGAGGAATCACAATATCTGGTTCAATCCGGTGTTTGCGTTATCTGTAGATTTTTAATTACCCACATCCTTCCTTCCCTGCTCTCTCCCTGAAAAACAAAAGTTGACTCTTCAAATAGAAATTAATTGGCACTCATCTGTAGCTTCTTTCCATCAGGCCCACAGGAATTGGAAAAGCAGAGGACATTTTCCTAGGAGTCCACCTACTGTGGATGTTGAGTATCAATCCCCTTCAAATCCATGGCCGTTTTTAAAAAAGACTCGTCAGCTTTCTAAACAGCATTCTTTCCCCACAGTGGCAACCTTGGTGCTTTGGGCAAAGCACTTCCTGCCTTTCTGCCTTGCTGGCTTCACATGGATGAAGAAAGCCACTGTCCTGGCTAGTTTTGTGTCAGCTTGACATAAGCTAGAGTCATCTGAAAGGAGCAAACCTCAATTAAGAAAAGGACTCCATAAGATCAAGCTGCAGGACATTTTCTTAATTAGTGATTGATGGGGAGGGCCCAGCCCATGTGGGTGGTGCCACCCTGGGCTGGTGGTCCTGGGTTCTATAAGAAAGCAGCTGAGCAAGCCATGATGAGCAAGCCAGTAAGCAGCACCTCTCCATGGCCTCTGCATCAGCTCCTGCCTCCAGGTTTCTGCCCTGTGTGAGTTCCTGTCCTGACGTCCTTCAAGGATGGACTACAATGTGGAAGTGTAAACCAAATAAACCCTTCCCTCCCCAACTTGCTTTTCGTCACTTTTTGGACAATCACTTTGACCCTAAAGCTTACACAAAGTGATGAGGTCACATTACAGTTAGAGATTCCACCCTGGCATCTTCAAGGCTTTGCTAGTTCTCTCCATGGACTCTCTCAACACTGTGCACAAGACTGGACTTTGAATGCGGAGTAAAAGCTAGCATTACGGTTGGAGTGTGAGACATCCTCCAGAGCCTCAGCCACGGGGGCTTGCTGCCAGCTGATGGACTTTTGACTGGATGCTGAGGTTTCTGGTCTAATCAATGGATTAATTTCTCGATGGAGCCATTAAACGACATGTCTGGGAGGAGGTGAAGCGTGAGTTGAGGCTAGAGGAAGTAGGTCACTAGGGTGTGTCCTTGAGTTTTGTATTAATGAGTTTGCTGTTGCTACGAGAAAACATCATGACCAAACATGACTTATGGAAGAAGGTTTATTGTGGTTTCTGGTTCCAGAGGGAGAGCCGAGTGGCCAGCAGGCACAGTGGCAGGAGCAGGAAGCTGAGAAAGTGAGAAGTGAGAAACTGAGTGTGAGAAGCAGAGACAACCCACTCAAAGGGGCAAAGCTCTACACTCTCAGAGCCAGCAACGTACTTCCGGCAGCAAGGCTGCACTGATCTCCAAACAGTGCTCACCTGGGGACCCACTGCTCGAACACCTCAGCCTGAGGGGGACATTGCTCATCCAAACCACTCTAAGACTCCAACTTGTCCAGGCCTCTCCTGTATCCCCTTTCTCTGCTTCCTGTTTACCTTGAAATAAAGATGCTCAGGAGCCCATAAATAATTTCTCCTCCATTTAAGTAGCTTGTATCAGGTTAGTTGGTTGGTTTTTGAAACAAGGGCTCACTATATAGACCAGGCTGGCCTAGAACTGACTGCCTGCTTCTGCCTCCCAAGTGCTGGGATTAAAAGTGGGTGCTACTGTGGTGATATTTTGTTTGTGCTTTAACAAATAAAGCTTGCCTGAAGATCAGAGGACGGAGCTAGCCATTAGTTAACCATAGAGGTCTGGAGGTCTGTATAGACAGGAGCTGGGCCCCTTTTCATTCTGAGGAGTCATGGAGGTAAGAGGTGACTGTGGCTGCTCCTTTCGTTCTCTGATCTTTCAGCATTTACCCCGATATCTGACTCCGGATTTTTATTATTAAGACCAATCAGAATTCACGCTACATGCCACCATGTCTGGCCCCATGTCAGATATTTTCTCATAACCAACAGTGAGTGTCTTCATGATCTCTTGTTCCTTATCTGCTGAGGAACCTGAAGTGCGGCGTCATCTCCTGTGTCCCTGATTGTCAGACCTTCCCATGCCTTGTTCATCTGTTTCTGCTGCTCACACTCGAGTGCTCTGTGCACCCCTGCTGCTCTTCCCATGTCTGCGCTCTCCTTCAGTGCTCCCTCATCCAGCAGAATGTCCCAAAGCACAGTCCCTTTCCTTCCTCAACACCCCATACACGTCCAAGTCTACACTCCACCGTGTCAGTCGAGAACATTCAATACCAAACCTCAAACTATCGTTCCAGCATTTTCTCCCAACCTCTAGCTCATGGCCCAGAGTAAAGGGCAGACAAGGAGTTCCTGGCACGTGATCTTGAAGCATTCCCTCACAATGTCTTGAAACACCCACTGAACTATTAACATTGGCTTCATGAGGAGGAGGCGGGCTTTGGTTGTCAGTACTTCACAGAGCCTAGCACATGACTTGGATTCAGTAAATACTGGTTGGATGAACCAATGAAGATGTAAGAATTCAAAGAGTCTTATTTTGGATGGAATCTGCTATGAAGACGTAAGATATCCTTTGCCAACTCTGTTAAAATACCTATTTAAGATGTATAAAATAATTCATAACAACTGGAAAATCTACTGTCCAAATTTGGAAGAAATGTAGAGTCATTTTAAATATGTAAGGCCAAGAGGGAACTGAAACTTGGACTGAGCAGGCATCCTCATATCCAGCAGGGCGGGCTTGGGGGCATCCTCATCTCCAGCAGGGCGGGCTTGGGGGCATCCTCATCTTCAGCAGGGCAGGCTTGCAACACCAATGAAAGAAGCTAGATGTTTGCTTTCCAGATCTTGACCTCTGACTTAGGATCAAGATCTGGGTCAACCAAAAACCTGGGAATCCCTCCTTTGTTGCTTGGGTCTGTATGTTTACATCTTACAGGGGTCACCTAAGACCATTGGAAAACACAGATATTTACATTGCAATTCATAACAGCATCAAAATAACAGTTATGAAATAGCAATGAAAATAATTTTGTGGTTGGGGTCACCACAACGTGAGGAACTGTATTAAAGGGTTGCAGCCTCAGGAAGCTTGAGAACCAATGATTTAGAGAGTCAAATATCTTCCTCAAACTTTCATAGCCCAGTAGAGGAGTACATGCTTTGTAGACACTAGTCCTGCCTGCATTAAGCCCGGTATTCAGTTATATTCCAGGAAGGGATCCACCAACATCCAAGTGGGAGAATCAAGAGAAAGTCACACACACTGTGTCCTCTGGTAACCATGAGGTCAGAACACATTTTCTTCTCTGACATGAGAAGTTCTGGAATCCTGCAGAGGAAAGGAGGCAAATGTCATCTAGAAGCCCAGTGGAAAAGCATATTTCTAAAAATGACATATTTTAGAAATCAGAAAAGAATTCTAGAAAAAAATTTTTTATACCTTTATCAGAATAGAAGAAGATGTGGCCTTTATGAAGGAGAAGAAAATTATGAGAAAAGAACAAGGTGAAATACAATGAGAACAGGATTAAATGAAGAACTATTGTGTGGAAAAGAGAAACACAAAGCCACAAATGGTGGTTTGTGGTGAGAACAAAATTAACAGTGGGTCAGAGAACACCTAAACATTTACTGATGTCCTAAGGAGGGTAAGGAAGCCGAGCAAGAGCCGAAGAACCCGTCAACGAAAACTTAAAGGGCTTGTTTTAGCTCCTAGTTCAAAGTACAATGGACCGTGGTGGGAGAGCGCAGGACCCTGTGGCAGGTGGACACATCACATCCACAATCAGGGAACGGATCAATGAAGACAATCCCACGGAGGCAAGCCCAGGACCTCAAACGGCACTAGAGTTCCTCAGGTTGAAAATGAACACTAATTGTCACTCCTGGTATTTCCATTTTTAGGGCCAGGGAGATGGCTCAGGAAGTGAGGGTAACTGCGGCCACACCTGGCAACTATGACCCACATAGTGGAGGAGAGAACCAACTCCCCGAAGGTGTCCTCTGACGGTCACCTCTGTGCCCACACACATACACCCATATACAATAATAAACAAAATGAACTATTTAAGTATTTAAAATTCACTTATTTGCATGGTGTGTGTGTGTGTGTGTGTGTGTGTGTGTGTGTGTGTGTGTGTGTGTGTGTGTTCAGAGGACAGCTTTGCGGAGTCTGTTCTCTTCGTCCACCTTCACATGGGTTTTAGGGTCTGAACTGACCACCAGGCTTGAGCCTTTCTTGACTCACTGAGCCATCTCACTGGCCCTTTCCACAGTTTTATCTTTCATGTATATGCATTCAAAACCAAACTCTAATAGGTAATATTAGGTCGTAATAATTAATCGTAGATAATAATTAATCATAATAGCTTTCCTCCCATCTAAAAGCAGTATGAGCCTATTTGTACACAGAGAAGCGTAAGGAAAGCATTCCCACGGTTAGAAGAGAAATTGCCAGGGTTCCTCTGCTGGAAGAAGGGCAGTCTACTGCAGTCCCAGCCATGCCCACCTCCAGCCCTTGGCACCTCGAGGCATAGAGTGTACATCCACAGGCTTGAGTGGATGGCCACAAGCTCTTCGTGGGTGGAGAGCAGGGGTCTCTCGAGCACTTCCAAGCTCCTCTGAGCCTCAGGCCACGTCTTCATGATGCTGCGACCCCAGGGACTGGAGCTATCTCTGATCCTTCAGCCACCAGCAAGTCTTCTGTACGTAAAGGTCCTAGGCGGGTCTTTTTTGTTTTAAACCAGAGAGAAGGTTTAAATAGGCCCTGGAGTCTGTGGCAGTCTATGAGATCTACATGAGCTTGAGAGATCTGTTTTCTCTGGACTTTCCCATCACCGGTGCTGTGGGACCACAGAAAAGTCCCTCCCTTTCACTGACAAGGGAAGAAATCTGGTGGCCCAGCCTGTCAACCACTTGGTTTCAGCAAAAGCTTTGCATGTTTCCAACATCTCAATGCTTGTTTTAGCCACAGCAGTAGAGGCCTGTCAGGGCCCGTTCTCCATCTGCCTGGGTAACCAAGCCTTAAAATGGAGTTTCCTCTGCTTGCTTAAGATGTGAAAGAGGCCGGGCAGTGGTGGCGCACGCCTTTAATCCCAGCACTTGGGAGGCAGAGGCAGGCGGATCTCTGTGAGTTCGAGGCCAGCCTGGTCTCCAAAGCGAGTTCCAGGAAAGGCGCAAAGCTACACAGAGAAACCCTGTCTCGAAAAACTAAAAAAAAAAAAAAAAAAAAAGATGTGAAAGAGGAGAGAAGAGCCCCACAGGAAGTCTTGCTCACAGCTTCCTGCCTCTGCAGTGACTAGAAATGGCCCAACCTGAGCTCACCATCATGGATCTGAGGTGCCAGTCTGGAGAGCTGTCCCTGCTGAATCCAGAATCTCTCTTCTGCCTGTGGATGGTGTAGCAACAACTGTGTCCTAGTACTTGTTCTCCTCCACCCAGGCGCAGGCATCAGGAGGTGGGTTCTGTTCTCAGCCCAAAAAGGTAGACCTTTGCACCACACAGTAACAATTTCTGTCTGGCTTATTGCCAATCTTTTCCTCAGTAGTTAATACACTCTGGCAGAGGGTCACGCTGCTTTCTTCATCCTGGATAAGACTCCCGGGCTCGGGCAGCCCTCCTCTGCCACCCTCCTGAGAAACTGGACCTGTCGACATGTGCCGCCTCACTGTCTCAACTGCTTCTAATGCAAAAGTCTCCTTTCTCTTCACTACAGAGAAATGAAATCTCTAGATAGTATAATCTAGCACAAGTAATTACTTTCTGTCTTTTTATGGAAGAGACAGGGGCTTGCTCCCCTCAGGTGTGTGCTCTGTGGCTGGTCACTTCTGCCGAGCAGGAGGACTTTAATGAGGTAGCAGAAACAGTGCTGGAACTTCCAACAGTGCTGGAAGATCACCGGGGCTGGACTGGGGCTGGAGATATCGGCAGAACGGCTTTTGTGTTTAATAGATTTCTTTTGGCAGAAAATGGCAGGAATTCAATACAAATTAAAAGGACAGCAACAAAGGAAATAGCTGATGACTGATCATGTCCGGATGGGTCATTGAATCAGGGATTGTTGCTAGAAGTAAGCCTTGAGGACTGATAGAGTCCTGGTGTAGCTTGAGTTTTCCTGCCTGGCCCATAGTCAGGACAAATCTCTCTCACCCGCCAGTCCCACAGCCGCTCAGACCCGACCAAGTAAACACAGAGACTTATATTGCTTACAAACTGTATGGCCGTGGCAGGCTTCTTGCTAACTGTTCTTACAGCTTAAATTAATCCATTTCCATTAATCTATACCTTGCCACATGGCTCGTGGCTTACCGGCATCTTCACATGCTGTTTCTCATCATAGCTGCTGGCAGTGTCTCTCCGACTCAGCCTTCCACTACCCAGCTTTATTCTCCTCCTTGTCCCTCCTATACTTCCTGCCTAGCCAAGTGGCTCAGGTCCTTGACCATCCTTTAAGGGCTCCTGAGAGGCCCAGCCCACCCAGCAGACACTCCATCAGAGCTTTTTGGAGCCCTGAGCACCACATGACCTCAGGCCCCCAGGGGACTCCATGAAGCTGAGGGGGGACGGGAAGCACCACAGTGGGGTCTCTCATGACCTCTTATCTCTGTTTCCTTTCTTTCTACCCAAAGCTCCTCCTTAGCCTCAGACACCGCTTCCTTTTCCAGCCATCCGGGCATCCACTTCCTTCTCCAGCCATCGGGCATCCGTAACTCTGCCTTGTTAGCCCATCACATGGCTGAGGAACAAACCTGCTTGCTCTTGGACCCAGGGTAGCCTGGAGAAAGCCGCTGGCATCATTCACCTGACAGAAGACCACTCACACTTCACCTCGGTTGGCAGTTCATGGTCAGCATCACTGCTCCAACCATCTCCTGTCTGTTAAGATTTGATCTCTTAGCTTCTAGTCCTTCAACCTCTGCTGGTGGTGAGGTGATCTGCCAGGATGATGCCAGGAGATGTCTCTTAGCAGCCCAGATGGAGCTGCAGATTCTCTGAAGTTTATCCTGAAGCCCTGTCATGCCCACAGAAACCCATCTTGTGTGTTAACTCTTGACACTCAGGGACATCTTCCAAGGATGGTGTTTCCTCCAGGTGTGCACATACTTAGCATTTCAAATACAAACTGAAATCCAAGTTTCCATTTTTTCATACTTTCACCTTCTCTCATCTCCTTTACTTGGCTATCTTTGGGTTGAGGAAATGCTTGCAGAACCCATCATTTTTTTAGCTAACCAACTAAACAAACAAAAGAGCCAGGCAGTGGTGGTGCACACCTTTAATCTCAGCACTCAGGAGGCAGAGGCAGGCAGGTCTCTGTGGGTTCAAGGCCAGCCTGGTCTATAGTGTGAGTTCCAGGGCAGCCAGGGCTGTTACACAGAGAAACCCTGCCTCAAAAACAAACAAAACAAAACAAAAAGAAAGGGAAAAAAATGACTGGCAGTACACAAGGATTCCTCGGTGGTCCTCACCCACTCCTGAATCACACCTGCAGGTTCTCCTCTGGAAACTAGATGCTAAGAACAAGAAGAGACATTTCCAACTTCTATCAACTCTTTTCTCCATCAGTTTGAAGGAGGGATATCTGAGGAGAGCACACATTGTAAGTACCACACACGAGTGACTTAATGAACAGCATCCCCAAACAGCTCCTCGGTGCGTGTCTGCAGCCCCCAGAGCCCCCCCTCCCCAACATAGCCCATTCCTATGGCCCTGTCATTACACATTTTTTTCTAATTTGGATAACTGTAGGTTTCACCAAGTCCTGGCTTTACACTGAGTAGTTCATTTTAATCTTCATGTTTTCCAACCAGCTAAAGTCATTGTTGCAACAAGACAGATGAATGACATGGGACATGGCTGCAGAGCTGCTTCCGGGCGAGGGCTGAAGAAGGCCTTTGTCCTTCTGTGTGTTGCCTCGGGAGCTTTGATTGATCTTCGGGCTATTCAATACATACATACCTCACAGGCCTCTTCCTGTTTTGTGTGCTCTTGCCATGGTCTTAGATGAAGTGAAAAGGGCCCCCAAGGTTCGTCTCCTACCACTGGATGGAGGAACGCCCTTGGCCAGTGCAACCCTGAGGACCAGGACTTATGGCTTAAGAAAAGATTTATCACCCAGCAGCAGTGGTGGTGCACGCCTTTAATCCCTGCACTCGGGAGGCAGAGCCAGGCAGATCTCTGAGTTCGAGGCCAGCCTGGTCTACAGAGCGAGATCCAGGACAGGCACCAAAACCACATGGAGAAACCCTGTCTCGAAAAACCAAAAAAGAAAAAAAAAGAAAAAAAAAAGAAAGGAAAAGAAAAAGAAAAGATTTATCACCCCTTTCCTTCCCAGCCTTCACCACCTCCCCTCCCTGCCTGGGCAGGAAGCCACCTGCTGGTGCAGTGGTCACTACTGGGGTCATACGCTCCACGTGCATTACATGTTGAGATCTGACTCCCGGGTGAAGCCACAGCCGCCTCCTCAGTGGAAAGCAGATTGCTCCGCAAACCTTCGTTGGCTGACACAGCCTTGCACATGGATTTCCAAAATTACCAAGGCTAAGACATTCTTTCTACCCCCAGCGCCGGCGCTGACCCCAGCGCCGCTTGCCAATGCAAGCCCCCCCCCCCCCCAACACACCAGTGTGTCTCACCTTAGGCCATGAGTAGCTCCGGGAAGGGCACTGGGCACACCTAGGACTGGTTCGCTTTATTCTGAATTTCATATAGATAGACTCACGCAGTGTGTCCTCTTTCTGAGAGCGGCTACCTTTGATCAACATACTGCCCATGAGCGTCATCCAACCTGGGCAATCAGCACAGAAGCTCTTCTTGCTGGGTGGCTTTTCGATGTACAAATGGAAAAGAGCACATCGGTGCATGTCTGGTCTCTTCTTGATGGCCTTGGCTGCTGTCACCAGGCCACTGCCTGCATTCGTGTGCCCGACCTCCTTCAGATGTGTGCGGTCGTACTGTGGAATCTAGAGCCTCGTAGAGGAGCATGGGGCCGGGGGTGCTTCTGCCGTCGCTGTCGGGAAGGGGGGCCTCCCTGGGGACTAACAGCTGAGTGAGCACCTGAAAGGCCAGCAAGGCGTGGCTGTGCACAGCTGGAGGAGAGTGCTGGAACAGGAGGTCCGCCAACAGAAGCCGAAGCCTGGCGGTCTGGGGAGAGAAAGGGGCACGAGGCTGGCACAGTCAGTCACTGAACTAAAGAACAGATGCAGAGAGTCTGCGGTTTTCCATGTACCGGGCCCTATTCTAGGCTCTGGAGACCCCGCGGGGAATGAGACATAAGATGCTCTGTCCTGGGACAAAGAGGTGAGGCAGCTGGGAGAGCCTGGATGAGGAGACGAAGGTCAAAGGCCAAGTAGGACTGTATAGAAAGCGGCCTGGGTCTTCCCTGGAGTTGTGGTGGGAGGCAGGGAAGAGGGAGGTTTGCTTTAAGCCCCCCCCCCTCTTTCTCTCTCTCTCTGTGTGTGTGTGTGTGTGTGTGTGTGTGTGTGTGTGTGTGTGTGTGTGTGTGTGTTGGTGTGTATATATGAACACAGGCACACAATGTAGCTATAGAGGTGTAAGGAACATGTAAGACCTAGGGTGAACAGCCCTGGTCAGGAGTGATAAGCAATAGAATGACGTAAGAAAACCACAAATGGAGTAGTGATAACCTATAAGCTATGTGTGGAAGTAGGGATAGGACTAGAAACCTAGCCAGAAAGGGATATAAAAGATGAAGCCTCAGACCCGACCAACAGAGCTCGTCAGGCCCTCTCATGAGACGACTCTCCTCTGCCAGAGACGTGAGATCCTGTCCCCAGTGCAGACATGGCTGACCTGAGGAAGGCTGACCCAAGATCCAGAGGAACAGATGTGGCGAGTCCGGACCTGTATACCCGGAGAGGTACTCCCGCCTCCATTTGGAAGACGGGATAAATATTGCTTGTAATCTTACTGTGTGAATAAATGTTATATCAAGTCTGAATCAAGAGTGATTATTCCTCCCCCGTAACCGGGGTATGTGCTCGCTACCAGAGGTAAGAGGTTAACCTCTCTCTGGTGTTGGGCCTCGACTTGCACGATTGGCGTGGGTCTCTAGCTGTCCCCCACTGCTGGCCCTTGAGCCTTAGGGAATTACCTCTCTTGTCTCTCCTGTCCATCTCCTCACAGGAGCACTGGGAGTGCAGCCTCTCCGACTCCGTCCAGTTGTACTTGGGTGCTGGGGTCCTGAGCTCTGATTCCCGTCCTTGCATGGCGGGTATCTTATGAGTCATCTCCCCAGCCCATCGTGGAGGATTTTAAGCAGAGGTGAGAACGATAGATTAGCCAGGAAGTGAGGGCAGAGGCAAAAAGATCCATTGGTGATTCGGGCTAAGGACTGCAAGCTGATGGCAGCCTAGGCTGTGGGGACCACAAAGATGACCTGCACAGAGGGCACATCGTGGAGGCGGATCTGACAAGCTACAATGAGGGATTAATTGCAAAGTGAATAAAAACTTAGTTTTATTAAATTTGTAAAATTTAATAAAATTAATAAATTTAATGAAAAAATTTTAAATGTATTTTTATATTTAATTTATCATACTAATTATATTATATGATATAATTATATATTTTTAATAGGTTTTCTGCCTCCTGATAGTAAGTTTCTCCACTGACACAACAAGCCAGATCAAGCTGAATTGAAAAAGTATAACAACAGGTTTATTGAAAGCAACTCCTGGGCAGGTTCTCTGGTCCCAAAGATGGAGGCCAGAGAAGTCCCACCCCCAAACTAAAGCAGGGAGGTTTTATAGGTTGTAGACGAGGGGTGATGATGTGTCCACCACAAGCTGGGTTTGTGACCAAGTGTGGTCAATAGTTGAGCGCTTCGGCAGGGACTAAGTTGCTGGCCACTTCAGGGGAGGAAGCCGCAGTAGTCACCAAGAATGCAGAACTGGGCTTTTTGGTGCCTTTTCTTTGTTCAGAGACTCTCTGAGTGGGCGGGTTGGAGAGAGAGAGAGAGAGAGAGAGAGAGAGAGAGAGAGAGAATGATGGGGCTTTCTGGATTGTGTAGGGGTGAGCTGGAGGCTCCAACCAAACATTATGATATTTAATTATGTATAATATAATTATAATTGTACAGTATTCATTATATCATATTTATTTGGTGTAAGTTAAAAATAAAAAAATAAACTCCGCTCCGGCTTAAATTCTAGTCAGTTGGCCTGAGCACCGAGCAGATGGCGGCGGCAGCACCAAGGCTGGAGAGACTCGGCAAGAGGGACCGGGGTGGGGGATAAGCACTGGCTCCATTTGCTAACCTGGAGGCGCAAGGGAATGTTCAAAGACTAAAACCCCCGAGCTCAGAGGAGAGCGAGACTGAAGACATGCTGGAGTCATCGGCACACAGGCAGCTTTGACAGCTGACCAGGGTGACTTAGCGGGAGAGAGCAGGGCAAGAAGAAGATGGAGATGTCTAGGAGTAGCTGAGAACTTGAAGATCCATTTTACAGATGGGGAAACCGAGGCTCTGAGAAGCTAAGCAAATTGTCCCAGGTCACAGTATGACAAAGCTTGACCTACTCCAGGGTCTGCGTATTTGCTGGCTTCACTTCAATGCCTGTGGTTTCTCAGCTCCGCCATGCAGATGTCCTGTACTCTCAAGCAAATTAGCCTCTGGGCAGCTCCTTCCCCTGTCTGTGAGGTGAGAGCAATGATAACCACACACACCACTTAGGGCAGTGTGAGCATACAAAAAACTAATAGAATGGAAACGCTCCGAACCATGGCTGGAGCACAGGGAGTTCATGGTTCATGTGTGAGTCACAGGGAAGAGTCACAGGGAAGAAAGGCCAAGAAGCTCCTGTCTCCACAGCCGGGCAAGCTGGCTCCATTGCCACTGTACAGGCAGGGGACTGTGGAGGGCAGGCCTGTCCTAGAAACTCTTTTATGCTCGTTACCAGGGCAACCTTTGGTCCTGGATAAATCTAGCCTCGTCCTTATGCAAGTGAGCTGTGATGATGTCTTTCTACTTTGGTGGTAGAGACAAGGTCTCCCTATGTGGCCCGAGGTAGTGTTCAAACTGAGAGACAGCGAGCTGGTGCCTCCACGTGAGCTCTTGGCCCCTTGCTGTCTAGGCTGGCCCATCTGGGAGCTCTCTTTGGCCAAGGGTCAGGATGGAACCTACTCTTCACTTAAGTTGGTGTTGAGTACCTCGCAGCCATAAAGGTGTAGCTAGCTGATATCAGATTCACTGGCGTTAATTTCACAACCTTATCTGAGACTCTTCTGAGAGTAATTAAGTGTTATCAGTTCCGTGAAAGATGAACCCAGAAAATTAAAAGTTTCAGGGTATACCAAGATGGCCCAGTCAATAAAGTGCTCGTTGTGCAAACACAGAGACCTGAGTTTGAGTCCCAGCGCCTGTGTGAAAAGCTAGGAGTGCCGGTCTACATTTGTGGATCAGTGCTGGGAAGATGCGGAGCACTCCTGGGGCTTGCAGCCAACCCTAGCCAAACTGGCAGGCCCCAGGTCCCAGTGAGAGACCCTGTTTCCAGAAAAGTAGACATCCTCTAACAAATTACACCCAAGTTTGACCTCTACACACACACACACACACACACACACACACACACACACACACACACACACCCCTACCTCAGCCCCTCAGGTTCTACCCTTGCAGGAAAGAAGAATTAGACAGTGAAAACAAATCATAATTTCCTAAAACTTGCTTGGGACTCACCTCCTGGGTCCTTCCCCAGCCCTGTGATATTCTGATCCAAAAGCACAAAGTCCTTCAGCCAGCCACGGGACTGGAGCCGTGTGAGGACATTCTTGCATGACCTACTTGCCTTAAAGGAAGCAAGGTAGGAGGGAGGCTATGCTCTTCCTACACCTCAGATCTGACAGCCCAGCTTTTCTAAGCTCCACAGCATGCAGCTTTTGATTAGGGTAGAGGGAGCAGGCCCAGGAGGCCCAGATCCAGCAGCAAATGTGGGTTTGAAGTGTTATTCTCGGCTAGCTGGGCCAGAGTCTCCATTGTTCTCAAAGCCTGGAGCAGACGCCTTAGGAAATGCTAACTCTCTCAGTGCCTCACAGGAGCTTCTGTCTGGCTTGAGATTCTTTAGTCTGAAGGAGGAATCAGCAGCGAGCCATCAAGGCGAGCCGCAGAGCAGGCTCAGGTTGGCACTGGGCGTGGCGGCTCCTTCATTAGGTGGCGGTGCTGGCGGCTACAATCAGCCTCCGGGAAGACGCTAATGAGCTCCCATCCGCGGCAGATGGTAGAAGGCTAGCTTCTGATTTCTCTTGTTTCGCTGCTTTTTCTTTCCTCAAAAAATGTGCTAACCAAGACACTCCTTTCTTGTGCTTGATTTTAATAAAGCCACATATGAATTTTTAACCCTTTTTAACCCGACCTTCCTCAGATCGTGAATTCAAGGAGCAACAGCTTCTTGGAACCCAGGGAGACTTGCCCCCTAGCATCTTTCCTCTGCTCCTTCCTATGCTGTCTACTTCTTTTCCTTTTAGCACAGAGGAATCACACACACACACACACACACACACACACACACACACACACACACACACACGCACACGCGCACGCGCACGCACACGCGCACACGCACACGCACACGCACACGCACACACACACACACACATTTGTGAGCCCCGAGGACCCTGTAGGTGTGGATTTCATTCTCTTTCTGTCTGAGACAGGCAGAAGTTATCATGCTTTGGCTAAGTTTTGTTCCCCCTTAAGGCAGATGCACTACCCTGACACACACACTCACACATGAACTCATGAAGTGAATCACTACAGACTGTCAAATCCCTTCCACATGCAGGCACCCCACAAAGCAACACCCAGATGTTACTTTAAGTAGGTGCTGGGATCAACCCATTTCATAGATAAGGAACTGAGGCTAAGGAATTTATCCAAGATCAAATGGCCAGGAAGGGACAGAACCCAAAGCCAGGAAAGTACAGTTCCCCAGCCAGAGCGTTCGGGTGGTGTATTCCTCTATCCTCCCCGGTGAGCATGTGGATGCATGACTGAAGACTCCAGGATTTCAGGCATTTGTCTTCATTTCGGATTCTTGTCTGGGGGTGAGATGTTGAGAGGCTCACCAGTGGAGAGACAAGCAATTTAAAGAGGCATTTTCGGAACTCAGGGATGGAGGGAAGAATTGTGAAGAGAGGTCCTGCATAGAAAACCATCCGAAAATGTGATGGCTGAAACCAAAAGCCACTGTTTCTCCACTCTGTGAGCCAGGGCTTTGGGCAGAGGGTCAGCATGACTCCATGTGAGACGACCAGACTGTCCAGACCAGAGCCTTGCTCAGATCTCACATAACTCAGGGGCTTGGCATTACCCTCCAGCTCTGCTGAGGTCTAAACAGAAACAGCATCTTTCTGTCTCATTCTTTGAGACCGTCCAGTCAAAGGGTCAGCCTAAATTCAAACAGATTCCTTCGGATGGCTCAATGGCCTGTATGTAAGCATCTTTGCAGACGATCTACCTGCATGGTGTCTTGGTAGAGGCAGATGGCCAAGTGTTAGGCCAATGTGACAGAAAATCCCACCGTGGCCACTTTTCTGGAAGGGAAAAGATTCTCCTAGAAACCACACTGCCCTCATTCTCTCAACTCTACAAGTAAATGTAGAAGGTGTTTGTTGGACACCGACTGGCATCACGCATCTGTTCTTCAGGTGGTGACAGTCTAGTGGTTCTCTGACTAAGAAGTCCAGTGCAGGTGCAACACCCTCCCTTGGCTCAAGCAATGTGCACATACTGTCTGCCAAGACAGACGTGGGCAGGGGAAGGGGCAGGCGGTGTCTACCTCACAGAGCACTCAGGCAATGTACCAGGGGTGTTGCGGGATTGCCAAGTGAGGAAGGCCAAACTAACCTCATCTGCCAAAATAACCAGCTCCATGTCCTCTAACAAAGCCAAATCAATGCTCCCTCAGAAAACCCATCAGGGACCTTAAGGGCATTCAGGTCCTAACTAGCAGGGCATTTACAACCATCTTATACAACACATCCAAGGTGAAATGTAGGAAGGTAATCTGGTGTCCTGGTCAAGGTTTCTACTGCTGCAATGACACACCATGACCAAAAGCAGTTTGGGGACTGTCTCAGTTAGGGTTTCTGTTGTTGTGAAGAGACACCAGGACCACAGCAACTCTTATAAAGGAAAACATTTAATTGGGGCTGGCTTACAATTCAGAGGTTCAGTCCATTATCATCATGGCAGAAGCATGGTGCCATGCGGGCAGACATGGTGCTGGAGAGGTAGCTGAGAGTTCTACATCCGGATCCACAGGGAGCAGGAAGAAACAGTGAGCCACTAGGCCTGACTTGGGCAAACCTCAAAGCCCACCCTCGGTGACACACTTCCTCCAACAAGGCCACGCCTCCTAATAGTGCCACTCCCTATGAGCCATTTTTGTTCAGACCTCCACAGAGAGGAAAGAGTGGCTTAGGCTTCCAAATCACTGTTCATTGTTGAAAGAGGTCAGGATTAGAACTCAGATAAGGCAGGAGCTGATGCAGAGGCCGTGGAGGGTTGCTGCTTACTGGCTTGCTCCTCATGGATTTCTCAGAACCCAGGCACCATTCACAATGTGCTGGGCCCGGCCCTCCCCCACCAATCACTAAGAAAATGCCCTATGGCTGGATCTTACAAAGGCATTTTCTCAATCAAGGTTCTCCCCGCTTTCAGATAACTCCAGCTTGTGTCCAGTTGAGGTAGAACTAGCCGGCACTCCTGAGATGGAAAAGTAAAGTGGATTATGACCAGCTGAAGAATAACTGCAGTTTAAGGATTGCCAGGGGCAACCTAAGAGAGGACGTTAATCCAAGCCGCGAGAGAAGGCCGAGGGTCAGAGAAGGGAGGCAGGTGGCCAGTCTGCAGCCTCCAGCAGTTTCACACTGATAATGAGGAGTGAATGAGCATCAGTTAGACTGCCTGTCAGGCGATTCGCTTGGTGACGAGTATTCAGGATGGAGCAGGACATCAAAAAGCCTACTGTCAAGGCAGGGTGTGGAGGAGGGCGCACTGAGCAAGTTCCACAATAGTGTTGCGGGATCCAAATGTACTCAGGAAACTTGGCTGGGGGCTCGGACAGGAGCCCCCACGTCAGCTTCGGGTCCCTTGAGCAATGTCTATGGATTCTGTGAACAAGCTTATTTTAAAAACAAACAAAGACTTGTTTACTGAGCCATCCATCAGAGCCTGGGTGGCAGGAGGTGTGACCCCCGCCCCCAACACACACACACAAACACACAAACACACACACACACACACACACACAGCCTGAGGGAGGTGACCGTTAATCCATGGCCTCTGGTTCCTAATGCCTTCCCTAGGTGGGGTCTCTGGTCTCAGACTCCATCATCAACATACCTGGGCAGCTCTTGATTAGGCCATTGGAGTGGTTTAAGCGGGTGTTCAGATTTGAGAAGAACTCCAAGACAGAGCAGCACAAACATGGCAGTTACTTAAAATTTCCAGCCCGTTTGAAATCAAAATTGCCAATGTTTCTGATGGATAACAAGCACACAGCCTCCAAGGGGTGTCAGTCACTGATCTGAGGCCGTATTGCATTGTCTTGTGCTGCCCTGCCCACAGTCCGGTGAGGTAGCCATGACAGTAACTCCATTTTGCAGGAGAAACGGAGGCTTAGCGCGTAATAGCCATTGTCCAGTGTCCCAGAACTACCTAAGGGGGAGATTCAGAGTTGGGGTCAGAATCAGGACTTAGTTCATGCTTGTCAAGCACTCTACCACTGAGCTGCTCCCGGAGGCACCATTTCCTTTAGGAGGATAAACAAGACTGAAGCGTGATGCTCCCCTCACGAAGTCCCTCTCCTGCCTCTGCTCCCCATACCAGGATCTTGTTGGAAACGCAGGTGTACCGGCCCTTCTCAGTCCCCTGCACCAAAGCCAGCGTTCAAACACACCCCCGGGGCTTGCTAATTTGGTGATTATCATCCTGGTCCAACAGGCACCACCTAGGGAACTTTACCCAAGGCCAGGGTCACACACCGCTGAGTGGTCTGGGTGGGTGGGCCTGGGTGCAGCCTGGCTTCCGGGTTTTTACAGCGCCGCCCTCAGGAGAGTCTCGTGGACTTCAACCTCTGTGGTCCACTGAGCAAGAAGCATGGTGGTGGCGGTGCGGGGCAGCGATGTCACTGCGGCAGAGCTCAAACCGGGGTGGGGGCGTTCCAACAACATCAGAGAGGATGCTAGGGCAACAGGCTAGTGACAGTGCAAGACAGTGGAGGGGTCTCGTGGGCAGCCCTGTCGGCTACCGCAGCAAAGTGGAAGAACCGATGACCTTTCCGCGTGCCCGGCGCTTCGCGCGCGCGCGCGTGCAGGCCACGCGCGCGGTGGGAGCACGGGGGTGCAGCGGCACGCGCAGGCGCAGAGGTAGGGGAGCCGCGGGGCGGCGGCCGGTGGGGCGGGGTGACTCAGCGCGCGGAGGCGGTGCGGGGGCGGCGGGCGACCGGGAGCCAACCGCAGCCGCCGCGGGCCCAGCCTGCCTGGCAACAGCCAGCACCTCCCTCCGGGAGCCGAGCGGAGGGCGGGGGAGCCGGGCGGCCTGCAGGTGGGGCGCGGTGGCGCAGCTTTGTCCCCGCACGGCCCGAGGCTGTGCCGCCCGCCGAGGCTGAGTCACGGCCGGGTGTGTGGCCAGATGGCCCCACCCGCAAGGATGCGGCCCTCGGCTGAGCCGGGCCTGGCTGCGGCGATGGAAGGGATGGAGACAGAGCAAGGTGGCTTCTGTGCAGCGCCCCCGGGATGGAGGGGCCCAGCCACGCCCAGCCAGCGTGGGTTAGAAAGCCCCGTGGCAGCTGCTACCCCTGAGAGTCCACGCGAAAGGGAGCGTGTTCTAAGACACGTGGGAAGGGCTAGGGGCAAAGCTCGGACAAACCCGGAGCAGCGGGGTCCGGGAAGGTTCCTCCCTGCTCTTCCTCTCCTCCACACCTGTCCAGGGCCATGTAGAGGACGTGAAGGAAATGTAGAATCCCCTACTCTGGTCAGTAAAGGTGGGGACAGCCAGGACACCTGCATTTTAGCAAGTATCCCAGCTCTTTTCAAACTGGTGGCTGGTTCAGGGTGTTTAGAAGATGCGAGGATGGTGCTCCCGGCACCTTCTATCTGCTGACGAATGACAGGGCAAGGAGCATGCCTAGGGAAAGAAAACGAAGGTCCGCGGTTGGGGTGAAACCGTCACCAGGCCCCTTCAAGAGTGTGCTTACGAGCACACGCCGGTGAAGTCCTCCACAGTCGGTGAAATTCTCAACACTATCTGTAGCTGTTGTTTCCGGAGACGTGCTGCGGTCCTGGGCTTGACCTTCAGCTCTGACTGCCTCAGCCCTGTAAGCAGGCATCTCACCATTTCAAGCCCCGCGTCGTACTTCCGTGGTAGTGAATGCCGCTTGCAACCAGCGGCCGTCGCTGGCACTGTGGTGCCTTCTGTTTTTCTGGTACGGTACCATGTGTGGATAGTGTACCTTAAGCCTACTAGACACTAAGACACATGAACTCCTGAAGTCTAGTCCTTCTAGACAGATGTCAGCTCAAACGGATTTTGTGTTTTATGTAATCTCCAGTTTAAGGGCTGCTAGTCTATTAAAGGAGGATCGAGGAAAAAGTTCACTGAAAATTAGGCTTAAGACAAATTTATCCCTTTGCTTGGCAAATGTCTTCTCCTGTGACAGCTCATAATGAAAAAAAAAAACCCTGAATAAAGACAAATTACATTTTCAGCAGTTTGAAGTGTGGACACAGATGTCTCTGGGGGCAGATGGCTTTGACTCAAATCTCAGCATTTCCACACTAGCCACATGACCCATCCTGCCTCCATTTCCCTTCCTGAGTGTGGGATGCGTGTCTTCCTTTGACTACATGCCACATGCTGCCTAAAAAGATTCCCAGGGTTTGTCACCGTGGGTCGGGGGTACTAAACACGTCCCATTGCAGCTCAGCCCATTCCCTCCCAGCCCTGCCCTTTCCCTGCCTCATCTCTCCTGACTGGCTGTCAGACATTAGCCATGAGTGTTGTCATGAAGTATTATGACTAATATGTCTCTGTGTGTTCTTGTGTTTCGGTGTAGTCATTATATATACCACGAATTAGCACAAACAAATTACTTAATTTATCTAATTCTTACCCTCACCTTCCAAAATAGGAGTTATTGTTTTCATTGCTGCCTCTCCAGGAAGGACACAGAAGTGTAGAGATCTGGAGAAACACCTGAGACTTTGGGAACAATCAAATCCTGACACTGAACCCGGTAGCCTGGCTTCTAGGCCCTGGTACCCAGCCACTGCGTCCTGTGGCTGTTATATAACCGTGTGGATTATAGCAGGGGCTTACCTCCCTCTTGACCCATCAGACGGCATGGTTGGGATTTTCGACGTCCATCAGATTCCTACCTCTATGTACAAAGCTCCCTTCTTGCCCCTGAAAACTAGTGTCAATATGAGGCTCTTTGGCGGGACTTTGAAAAGCTCTGGGTTCAAGCACACACTCCGAGGTTGGCACACAGCTTTCAGTGAAGGCACACCAGGATTCAGGGACTGTGAACATGTGCTCCCTGGAGGCAGGGTGCTGGTGGTTTACAAGCTCTGTCCATTGGCTTCAGCCATGTCAGGTTGACCACCGTCCTGGACCGTAGTCTGGCACCAGACTCACACACGGCTGTTGTCCACATACTGACTTGTTCCTCTTACCTCATCTCTGCTCTGGTCTTCTGTCTCCTGTCATCTTCAAGGTCCAAACTGCAAATTCTCTGCACCGCCATGCTCCTGGGCAGGAGTTCTCAACCTGTGGGTCGTGACCCCTTTGGGAGGGAGGCAAATGACCTTTTCATAAGGGTCTCCTAAGACCATCAGAAAACACAGATATTTACATTATGATTCATAACAGTAGCAAAATTACAGTTATGAAGTAGCAACAAATAATTTTATGGTTGGAGTCAACCACAGCATGAGGAACTGTATGAAAGGTCACAGCATCAGGACGGTTAGAAACACCGCTCTAGGGCATCATTCTTGTCACTGGGACTCAAGCGTTTGTGGTGACAGAGGCAGGAAGGGTGGGGAAGGCTTGCCCTTATCTCTCTAGTTTATTGTCATTATTCTGAAGACTTTACCAGGCACATCCAATATTTTGACATTGTGACTTGAAGGTGTTACCTACAAAGTTCATGCTCAAGGTGGGGAGACCCACAGAAATCTCTTAGTGTTCACGTGAATACAGGTTTTTGTGTTGGGCTGTATGCATAGCTCTCCTTAGCCACAGGTTGGACACACCTACATCCTTAACCCTTTGTAACCCGTATACTGAAGCTTGCTCCCTAAAAGGGTGTGTTAAACAGTCTTCAAGGCAATAATATTAAAGACCTGGGGCCTTTTGCAGGTGAGGAGGACCCCAGAGCCCAGCCGTTATTTTTGGTTTAATGACCATGGTAAAAGGCCTTGAGACTCTAAATTTGAGTTCTACTTTCTGCCATGAGATGGTGCAGACTCGCTGCATGTCTGCCATGGAGTGGTGCAGGCTCACTGCATGTCTGCCATGAGATGGTGCAGACTCGCTGCATATCTGCCCTGGGGTGGTGCAGGCTTGCTGCATGTCTGCCATGAGATGGTGCAGACTCGCTGCATGTCTGCCCTGGGGTGGTGCAGGCTCACTGCATGTCTGCCATGGGCTGGTGCAGGCTTTCTGCATGTCTACCATGGGATGGTGCAGGCTCACTGCATGCCCGCCATGAGATGGTGCAGGCTCTCTGCATCTCTACCATGGGCTGGTGCAGGCTTGCTGCATGTCTGCCATGGGCTGGTGCAGGCTCACTGCATTCAGTGGCTCAATCTTGGACTTCCCATCCAAGCTATGAAAAAAACATATCTGTTCTTACCACATCACCCAGTCCGTGGTAATGCTGCCACAGCGGCACAAAAGGACTCAAGGAAAGCCTCACTCCCCATGTGATAATGTTTAGGGATTTCAAGTGGGGTGTTTGGGAGACAGGGTGAGATGCGGTCCTGAGGGATGTACCCCATGATGGGATTAGAGCCTTACAAAGGAGATCACAGGTGCACAGTACTCTCCCCCCTCCTCCCCACCTTCCCTCTTCTTCCTTCCCCCTTTTTTCGGGGACACAGAGGAAGCAGCTATCTGTCCTCCAGGTGAGAGCCCCCTCTAGGTACCCTTCGGCCTTTTGACCTTCACATACCTCCTGAGTTTCCGTCATGCAGCAGGCAACAAGCTAACTCTCAGCCTGGGGTAACTCTTTCAGGGCCCACCAGTGTTACAGTCACTTTGATGGGGGCTGTGTGGAGGCCAGCCTGGCCTGAGTGGCACCCCAACATTCAAAGCTGCTGAAAACATATTTTAAAAAGTGTTAATCCAGCTGGGCCTGTCAATCACCTGGCCAAGGACCAGCCCTCGGGAGGATAAGTTTACTTTAAGCATGTTAAAGGTAGGGGAGGAATAATTATCCCTTAATGAATTCCCACCCTCAGTGTGGTGGCTTACAGAGCCACAGCCATGCGGCTTCATTCTGCCCAGTTCTCTGAATTACTCGGAAAGAGTAACATTTCCTTTCCATCTTTCTACCCCTGTTCTAAGCATGCTTACCCTATACTTTGGACATCGCTTTTTCTGTAAAGCTCCCCGCTCTGCCAAGTGGATTCTTGTCCACCACATGGCTGACCTCCAAGTCTAACTCTAAGAAGATAGCGTCAGACTTCCTCTTCTCCATCTCCCTCCTCCAGGCAGCTGCCTAGATTCACAGTTTGCTTGCTTTGAAAATTTTCTTTTGGCCAGGCAGTGGTGGCGTGCGCCTTTAATTCCAGCACTTGGGAGACAGAGGTGGGTTGATCTCTGTGACTTTGAGGCCAGCCTGGTCTCCAGAGTGAGTTCCAGGACAGCCAGGGCCACACAGAGAAACCTTGTCTCAAAACCAAAATATTTTTTTTTCTTTTAAACTCTAATAAAACTGTCCTCAAGCTTTCTTTTGAGTCCATTCTTCTATTCTTTGATCAATGAGACCATGAACTCCAAGAGGAGGACCCTGACTTCCCCAATAACATGTGACAGGTCAGGTGGGGTCCTCAATAGCACAAGCACCTAGTGGAGCCCCGCTCCCAACACCCCAGCTGCCTGCTGGCCACCTGGCCCTCAGGCGGCCATACATTCCTGCTTCTCAAACTTGCCTTCAGAAAGAGAAATGCTCAGTTAATGAAGCCCCATTTTAAACACACGGAACCCACAGGATCCTGTCCTCCCTTGGTTTAATTCAACCTGTTCAGTCCTGATCCTCAAAGGGGTAAAAGCCACTGACCTGGAGTTAGCGGTGTGGGGTGGTCAACAGATCCATTTGCATCTGGAAGTTTCTGTCTGTTCCCATGCTCACCCAGCCCCCAGGCTGTGCCGCCTAGAAGAGGGCAAGCTGAGTTTCGCTTCCTCTGGAGGAGACGTGAATAAATAAAGATGGGCAGCAAAAGAAGGAAGAGGAAGGGAGGGAACCCATATTTATAGAGAAGCCTCAATTGCTTTACCAGAATACCACAAGAAGCTACTCACACATGCCTATGCACACAGGCTAAGAGAGGCGAGCCCTGCCCAAGAACTGGTGGGAAAAGACTGGAGAAGGGCTACCCCAAGCACACAGTCCCTCCACACATCACCCTACAAGAAAGGAAGTCCGGAGGAGGACCAATGACCAGCTGAGTCACCACTCTGTACCATCCACATCCACTGTACCCCGTGTTGGACACCCAGCCACTAAGGTGTCCTTCCGGGGTGGGCCAGCTATAAGGACAGCTGTTCCTCTAAGGGCCTGGTACTCAGTCTGGCTCTGGGCTCTCACTGCTTCTCAGGTATTCCCACCTGCAGCCAAGACTAAACCCCGGTTCTTAGGGAGCTGTGCTTTCTCTGTCTGGTGGGAATGAATCCTGAACAGAAAGGAGGTCCTGAAGGTAGACTGGGAGGAGGCCTGGGAAGGTGGTGTCTAATCCTCAGCTCACAGTGCGAGGACCCTGGGCTCCAGGAGATCCAGGTAGCACACCGTGGCCCTCCAGAGGTGATTTTAAAATGAGTGGCTGATGTCTGGAGACGTTCACAACTCCATGACAGAACCAAACCAAAAAGACTCTCGCCTCCCCTGACTCCAAAGGCAGAGTGGGGATTTGGAGCCCAGCCAGGGTTCTGTCTCTCGCTGGCCCCAGAGGCCCCAGAGGACTTCACAGAGCCTTGGTTTCTCCTTTTGTGAAACCGTTCTCTCCAGCAGCCCTGCCTGTAGGCTGACCCTGGACAGCAGCCGAAACCGTATAGAGGAGGCAGAGGCCATTATTTGATCAGGGCCCCAAGATGCCCAGGGTTGAGTGGCACCCTCAGTCAGCTGCTAGGACACTGGGAAGCTGCATTTAAATCCAGTCCCAGCAAACCTCTAGACCTCCCCCATTCTTCTTCACACAAAGAACAGGTCCACAGTCTCAGCAAACAAGCAAGCCAACGCCAAATGAAAACCTGGGAGGAGAGAAAAAGTGGGGAGGAGAGCTCGGGCTGTCATCGCCAAGCCTCTCCGTGGGCGGCACCAGAAAAGAGCTGTGTAGGAGAGCAGAGCTAGGCTTCTGTGAAGATTTTTTTTTTTTTTGGTGTGGTTTCTTATTGCTGTTATTTTTCAAGAAATTTTTACCTTTTAAAAATTTATGTAAATTAGTATAACAAAATAGTGAGTTTAATGGATGGCATTTCCAAGGGTGTACTTCATGTACTATAGTGAAGTACTATCATGTACTTCACTCAGATTCACATACCCCGTTTTCCTCTCTTTCCCAACTCCCAATGGGTTTCCTCCCTTTTCTGTATGTATTTATTTATTTCTTTTTTACTGGGTCTCCCTGTATATCCCTGGTTGGCCTGGAACTTGACGAGTAGACCAAACTGGCCTCCAAATCACAGAAATCACTTGTCTCTGCCCTCTAGGTTCTGGGATTAAAGACATGCACCACCACACCTGGCCCCACTTTTTGTTTGTTTTTGTTTTTCAGAGACAAGGTCTCTCTGTGTGGCCCAGGCTGGCCTCAAACTGTGGACGGCCTGCCTTGGCGTCCAGAGTGCTGGGAGTAAAGTGTGTGCTGCCAGCATCAGGGTCGGAGTTCTTGTTTTGTTGTTTGTTGTTTTGTTTTGTTTTTTTCTTGTCTGGATGAAGTCAAGCCTGGGAGAAGATTCAGAGACCAAGAACTAAAGTCTTATATTTGTTCATAACAGAGAATCTTGGAGGGACCAGGGGGCATGACAGCTGTGGGCAGAGGAGCTTGGCCATTTCCAGAAGGTCTGTGGTCCTCCAGAGAGTGTCTGCAGCCCAGAGACCTTAGGTGACTGCTCCGTTCCCAGCTAAGGCAGGTGATGGGCAAGGAGAGAATAAGAGACCCACAGTCAAACCCTGGGCCTCTAGTCACTTGTCTGGCATTGGTGCCTCTGTATGCCCACTAAAGAAGGAGGGGTGCTGGCATCCCTGGACCCTGATCCTGCCACCTGTGATCACAGGATTTAATTAGGATCTCATCTGTTTGAGAAAAAAAGCATTCTCCATGCACTGTTCAGGTCACTGGCCACTCTTCCATCCAATACAGCCTGACCACACCCTCAGTGCTTGGCTGCGTGTCTCTAGTCCCAGAATCCAGGTGCCCCGCTGCACTCGGGCTCAAATCTGAGCAGGGCTGCCTAGGCTGGCATCATCTAATTGCTGGACACCCCCTTTTGTCACATTATTTCCCACAAGCTGCCTGGCTCTGAAAGTCTCCTTCTCAGACAGACAAATGAGACTCCAGCCTTGTTCTGCCATGCTCTGAAGAAAAGAGAGAGATCAGAGGCTCTTGCCTCCATACAGCAGCAGCCAGATCCAAGGCACAGACTGCTGGGCAATCGGGTGGCAGCAAAGCTGGGCCGGTGCCCTAGTTAAGGCTGTGGCTTTCTTACTAGGCTGAGCTTTAGCTTCAAGGTGCATAACAAGGTGTCATCAAGACGAGTACTGGGACAAGATCTTCACCGGTCACCTCCCGGGAGGATAACCTTGTTAGGGCAGCCCCTGGCACCCACAAGGCCCCTCTCATTTCAGACAGAAGGATGCTTCTGGGTTCTAGAAGAACCCAATCAAAGAGATCTGAGCCGACTTCCAGGTGCAAAAACTAAATTCAGCCACTGGCCATCTGGGCTACAGTCCCAGGGCTGTGGGGTCTGCTGATGAAGAAAAGTCCTTGGAGAGCAGAGGACATTGCAGCCTCTTCCTACCCTGTCCTGGCTGATGGGCAGTCAGCTTGAACAGAATGAACATGACCTGGGCTGCGAGCCTCTCAAGGACGTGAACTGGGTCTCCAGTGCCGCACTGGGTATCTCCAGCACACGGTAGCACTTGGGGGACCAAGGACTATTGGACACATTTTAAGTGTGTTTCTCCACCAGACCGTCACCTCACCCCAGAAGCATTGTGACATTTTCAGTGGGGAAACTGCCCTCCAGGAGGATGAGGTTTCTAAAGCTCCAAGTGGGTGAGTGAGGATTTAACCATAGGTAGTGGTTCTCTAGGGTCCAGGCTTAGAACTACTGTCTTGCAGGAATGAACTAACAATGAAATCTATGAAACGGGGAGTGAAAGGGGCAATGAATGGAGTAACCCATTAGCAGTGTGGTGAGCAGGACTTAGGAGTCCTGTGCTCTACTGACAGCCTTGTGTTTGGTTTTTGTTTTGGAGGCTGGGCTCATGTACCAAGACTAGCCTCAAACTCATGCTTATTGTGCCTCAGTTTCCAGAATGCTGGGATTCCAGAAACAATCCTGGTTTCCATGAGCAGCTCCCCATAGACTTGCCTCTAGACCAACCTGATGGAGACATTTTCTCAATTGGTGGTCCCTCTTTCCAGGTAACTCTAGCTTGTGTAAGTCAATGAAAAACGAACCGACATGCTAGGTAAGTGCATTCTGGAAAGATATCAACCTAGTGTATGAGTCGTGCGATTCTGCAGAGAACACACACGTGGTTCAGGGGTACGGTCCTTGCAACCTCTGGGCTACGTCTGGAGAGCTGTGCCTCTCCCTGACCTGGGGAGGGCCCTTCCCCATGGGTGGGATCAGCTGTCTGCCTGTTGACTAATAACAAGATGTGTCCAGCAAAGTGGATGGGCAGAAAATGGTGACTGTCCCTCTGATTACTGTATGAATCCAAGTCAACGATGTAACCACTGTAATCTCCAGAGAAGCCTGTCCAGGTGACCTCATTTCTGGTCCCCTAAGCACTGCTATCCTGACCCTCCAAGGGTCACTTCTTTCTCTCCACACTGCCCTGGCCTCAGCTTCCAGCCCCTGCTCCCTGGTTGTGCCACCTCTGAGGGATGAAGAGCACTACAGGTGTGGTGGCAATACCCCAGAACTTGGAAGGTGGAGTCCAAGGTCATGTTCACTAGCCTATGGTTCAAAGCCAGCCATGGCTACGAGACCTTCATCTTGTCCCTCATCTCTCTTCCTAACTCTGCCGAATGCAACTCCGGCTTCTCTCAGTTCGGCCTTTTTTTTTTTTTTTTTTTTTTTTTTTTTTTTTTTTTTCAGTTCGGCCTTTTTATCTCATTTCTGTCCCCTCTCGGCTTCTGTCTGCTTTAGTTCAGGTCTCACTGGGTTACACAGGTGACAATGGAGACGTCCCCTCTCTCCCAACTCTTGAAGGAGGGTTGTGCACAGAGGCCCAAGACAGGGTGGACAGAGGCCTGGCCCCAGGTGAGGCGGGACTCTTGGTAGAGGTGCTCAGTGCTACAGAGAGGGCTTGCTGTATGTCCAGGGAGAATTCTATTTGTCCATCTGTCAGGGGGACAGAAATCTTCTGTCTCGAAGAGAACACCAAAAGTCGCAGGAACTTCATGAAGATGACTGCAAAGGTAATTATTCACTGACTGTGGCTGATAATAATGTCTGCCTGGGAGTTCAGGCTACAAAGTCTA